AGGGCGTTATAATGTGACGGTCAGTCCCACTATTCGTTGGTAAAAGAGTAGTCCAAGAGTTGGCGGTAGGTGGTGATGACTAGCTGCCTTCCCTCTAGTCTTACACTGCTAAATTAGGGACGGCTAGCGCAGATAGCCCTCGTGTAGCTTTGCGCGAAATTCAAAAACAAACAAACTCTATCTGAAACAACTAACCTATTGGATCTCTTTAAATAACAGGAGGTGTAAAGTCATTGTTGTTGAACATAATTGTTTTGTTAGTGATTCACTTATGTGTGAAGGACAGTATCAAAATTGTCAGAAATATGTTTTCGGGGGAGATTTAATGTTTAAAAACAAACTGTCATTACATTGGACACCATATACAACCTTCCACGGTATTAATCGTCCCAGACTTTGTCCCAATCCAGGATAATGCCTGACGTCATACTTTCCGGAGTGTGTGGTAAATTACCTTAAACAAAACCACGAAGAAAATTGATTGGTTATCATAAATTATTGGTGTAAAACTCAAAGAACGTACCTACAGCCATTTAGGATTTCGTATTCATTAACATACTGACTGAGGAACGGGGAAAAAATAGTTTGTAACATCTTCCATTGAGTAATTACTGTTATGCCATACAGATACAACTAATGGAGCAATGGTGGGAAGAGATAGGTCATTTATTACTTAATACTTCTGACTCTTATCACTTCCAATCTGAAGGTGTTCCTGCTCCATAGTATGTAGCTAGCATTATATAATGTTATGGAGACACTGAATAATTAACTCAATTTGTGAAAATAAATGCTGTGCCTAAACTATGCTATAATTTCAACTGTGTTGTCCATTTGCTTGAAGAACAATCAAATTTTACAATATTATTTCTTTACTTTCGAAATAGTATACATATATAATGTATTGGAATTAATTATGAAAACAGTACATAAAATAGTTATAAACTGAAATATTATGGGATTGCTCTGCCTTTATTGTATGAAATGTAACTACACTATTGAAGGGTTACGTATTGTAGTTTATGCTAACTTTGATTGTCATTCAACCAATCAGATAGTTCTGCACCAGCATAATTGCTTTAAAACCACTGGAAGTAACACTATTGAGAACAGTAATGTAGTGAATATACTTATGGATCAAAGTACAAAAGTGCCACATGAAAAATTTGTAGAAATCAAAGTTTTGGCTGTCTCTGCCATGAGACAGGTTGGGGCAAAGTTTAATTTTTAGGCAGGAAGCATAAAGAAACTCTGAAGAGAAGAACGATAAACTAGTACTGTTGGTCATAGAAATGGCCAAGATCTTCAAAAATTACGGTAAATGATAGATTAGTAGAGATGATCCAAGGGTAATTACAGGAATAAATGTTATATTAAAAATAATATGATATACATCAACAAACGTAGCCTTATGTATATGTAGGTGCTCAACATCTTAGGAGGGATAACTAAATCAAAAGATTGAAATGAGCATCATACTTCAAACAATGAGATGTTAAAGATAAATGAGGCTGCCCAGTATAGATGAAACCAGATTTAAACTGTTTGGAACACAATCAACTAAAGTATTTTATTTCGATATCAGAGATGAGAGAAACATCATAGTCAACATTCAATAACTAGTGAAACATGAATGCTGGGGAACAAATATTAGTGTAGACCGCTTATCATCTGCATATCTACTGAAGTTAAAGGAACTGTTAATTGCTAAAATATATATGCAAATTCTTATCCACCTCGTTGTTCCCTCAGAAACAAGACCAGTTAATGAGGGATTCGTCTTCCAGTAATATAGTGGTTTTAAGAATGCAACAACTATAGTGCAACGATACCTCAAAAGAAAAAAAAAGCCAATGGAACACTTTCAACCATTATTTATCATGCCTAAAGTATTGCTATGAATATTATTAATGATGAACGGGCTTATATGAAAATTGAGAAGGTAAATACAGGACATGTATAACAATATTTTATAATAATGCACAGGTTTCATGTAACATGTATTTGAGAAAAGAATTAAATTTATCTCTTTTTTTTTTTTCAAATTACCTTTGTTCTTTTGTTGTTTTCTAATACTAAGTGACTAATACTTATTTTCGCGTCGACAGAGCATTACTAAATACGTCATTATCTATAAGGTTGTCAGCAGCAATGTTCTTCAGTTGTAATTCAGGTGATATCTAGAGGTACTGCTTCACTCATGTTGTAATAAGCAGTCACATGAATAGCCTATGTCACTCAGGCTAATTACGAGGTTTCTTGCGAACTAAAGAACGTTGTACTTAAAAAGAGTCGTATATTGATTCAGCTTTAACATTTGAATATATATTATCCAATATAGTCATTCGTCCCCTGTGAAGTAACAGCAAGAACAAAGTACTGTGTTTATGATTTAATGTCTGAATAAATATTTTATACTTTATATTACCCTTTGTGTCCAATCTCGTTAATTCATTTCGCATTAACATCAATTAGATTTATTACCACTATGTAATCAATATCTTGATCTAATCTATGGTTATCTAGTGGATCTATTTGATACTACTCTAAAGTTAAATCAGTTTCTCCTGGATATACCACAGTATCGACTGTGTATATATATTATTAAAAGAAATCTAATCAGCCACGCCTGAAACGGAAAGTTGAATTGAAATTTCACATGTAAACATTATATGATGGGCTAAATAGCCAGGCTAGAGACGCCAGAATTTAGTTATAGCCGTGCTTATTTGAACTACTGGCCAGAGATAGAACAACAGTTTACAAAATCCCTCACCACAATAACAAAATTAAATATCACTTTTCTAAAGTGCCCACAGCTTAAAGTATGAAGTATATTCAGTACATCATCGCATTACGCATTGAATCTCAGACCTTTGATAATCAGCCCGATATGCTAACCATTAAGTTATACCCGGCGGTAGGCCAGAAACTAAAAGTGTCGTACATAATAAATAGAAAAATGAAAAATAAAGATACAAACCACAACGTGAGAACTGTAAAATATATCTTAATACAAGAGGTATCTGCATTGGACATTCGCCAGATTTGACCTTTACTTCCAAACCTCTCACGAAAGTAAGTTAGACCGAAACAAATAGGAACTAAGATATTTCCTACTTTAAGCTACCACTTGCTCACCAACTGCAACCAGTTTGTAAAAGTAATTGCTTCTAATGAAACAGAAAAGTAATGAAGAAATATAAAAGTAAATATATGAATAGAACTAGTAGTTTGAAATGTACCATCATGGGTGGTACGTTTTGTTTGTTTGCAATTAAGCACAAAGCTACACAATGAGCTATCTGTGCTATGCCAATCACAGGTATCGAAACCCACTTTTCAGTGTAGTAAGTTCGCAGACATGCTGCTGTGCACAGGGTGGCTGGGTGATAAGTAAAACTTATCCGGTAAAGTTCTTATTCTATCGTCAAAAGTGGACAGAGTAATAAAATACAAGCTATTAAGGTCAGTAATTACTACTGTTATATAAAAAAGAATGAAAAGTTCACTTCAACTTCGGAAAAAAATATCTTCCCGATATGTTGTAAAGTGTTTGCTCAGTTGTATCAAGGCCTGGCATGACTAGGTGGTTATGGTGATCGACTCGCACTCTTCGAGTCGCGAGTTCGAATTCCTGTCCCACCAAACATACTCGACTTTTCAGCCATAAGAGTGTTATAATATGACGGTTAATCCCACTATTTGTTGGTAAAAGAATAGCCCAAGAGTTGGCGGAGGGTGGTGATGACTAGATGCCTTCCCTCTAATCTTTCACTGCTAAATTAGCAACGGCTAGCGCAGATAGAAATCGTGCAGCTTTGCGCGAAATTCAAGCCTTAAATATTTTCATGTATGGCAGAACGCATGTTATCTGTTAAACGCGTGTTACTTTTCCAAGGTAACATAGACATGTGGTGACCGCATGACGTAAAATGTTAGACGTATTGATAAAAAAAAACAGTTCTGGTTGTGCATATTTGAAAGGTTGTAGATGACGTTTTTTATTCTTTTTTTGTGCCAGTTTGCGGTCATGTGTTTTCATGAGGTTAAAGCCACTCATTTAGCGTAACTCCTCACAAAAGGACAGATTGAAATCAAATGAGCATTTTTAGAAAATGTTATCAAAAGGCTAAATATTACTGTAGAAGCTAAAATGAGTAAAATATCATTATAATAAAATATTTTAACTGCATTAAAGTAGCTTTTTTCTAATACTAGCCTTCTTCATCATTCCCAGCCATGGTATATCGAGGAAATCCAATCAGCTCTCGATCCGATCCAAGTCCAAAGCCTTCTCGTGTCCACTGCAACATTCCAACCTTATTTTCGATTCTACAGGGTAGAAGAACGTCTTCTCCTAGAATCACAGTCTTATCTTCAGGCTCCCGTATAAATCTCTGTGGGGCGGAATCTGTAAAATGCATCGTACATTGATCAAATAATGATACCCACAAAACTGAGCATGGGAAATTTAGATAAAGCAACCAGTGTATAATGTTCTCAGAATATTTTGTTAATCTATAACAATAAAAGGGCGTGTCGGTGGGTCTGAGTGAGTGTTTGGGACCGTCATAACTCCAAGAGAAAATAACTTAGAAACCTGAAATTTCGCACACATACTAAGTTGACCCTCAAGGTGTGCACCTGGATATTATTGGTTATTGACGAGCGTGCGCAACTTTTTGTGAGGCAAGCAAGCGAAAAACCACATACAATAGAATATGTGACCGTCATAGCTCCAAGAGAAAAGAACCTATAAATCTGAAATTTTGCACCCATACTAAGTGGACCCTGAGGGTGTGCACATGGATATTGTTGCTTATCCACGTGAATTTGCGCGTGAGCGAGCGCATCTTTTTGTGAAACAAGCTATCGAAAAACCACATAGCAAAGAATATGTGGCCAACATAGCACCAAGAGCAAAGAACCTAGAAACGTGAACTTTTGCATCCATACTAAGTGGACTCTGAGAATGTGCACCTGGGCATTATTACTTATTTACGTGCATGCTCGCATGCGCGTGCGCATCTTTTGAATAAGGTAAGCTAGCGAAAAATTACATAAAAAAAGTACTTCCTTATATTACAAATAGAAATCGAGAACAGTCAAAAAGACACGCACGTGTGTGCGTGCGCACATGCGTGTCTGTGTGTGTGTGACCACCATAGCTTCGAGAAGAAAACCTAGAAAACCGAACATTTGCATCCATACTAAGTGGACCCTGAGGGTCTGCACCTGGGTAGTATTACTTATCTTATCCACGTGCGTGCGTGCGTGCATGTGAGTGCGCATCTTTTTAGTAAGGTAAGCTAGCGAAAAAACACATAGAAAAGAAGTGGTTCCTTATATAACAATATCTAGTATATAGAAAAGTCATTGCGTTTTGGTAACAATGCATTCCAATAATGGCTACTAAATCATGTTGCTTAGCAATAAAAGTATAACCTGATATTGTTGTTAAGAGGCTACGTGCTGAAAGTATAAAATAAAATGTGTGAACTACAATAATGAAAAGAAAATTCGTTTTCTAATTTAGAAACTCCGTTAAATAAAGAGTTTTTTATTATTTAAGTTTAAAATCGGAGGGCAAGTCAGAGGGAAAGTTACTTTTATAAACAGGCCATATCCCGTAAAGGGGCAACAAAAGTATATAGGTTATACTTTTATGTAAAAATTGGTTCAGAATACACACAGTAACATAGCAATGTGAAATAAATGAACCTAATAACCCGAGCGAACCCGGGTACTTTTGCTAGTTGTTGATAATATACAAAGTACATCGCCAGTACCATTGTATTTGCATCCGTTATTGAAGAGAAATATTTTTTCTGAATTAGGTTATTTTGACATTTAGATATGTTGCATATTTATATTGGCTTTCACTGTTTATCAACCACCTTCAGCAACTAATACTGACATCCTTTTTTATTATATTCAGAGAAAGGTAATGGAAAATTAAGCCAGTATAATAAACTTAGCCTAATTTTTTTAACATCAAAGGAAAAAATACTTTACAATAGTGGGAGGAATTAAAATACATTTGTATTATATAATGAATGATATTCCATCTTGTATTAGACGTGTGCCTGAGCATCATCCTATTTGTGCGTGTAAATAGCGTAATCCTAAAACGCATGAAGTGATTTAACTATGAATTTATTGCACGATTAATAACGATTTATCCAAACATAAATGGTTCACTGGTAGTTTCACACAGTATAATGTTAGGTGCGTGACTGTAAAAAATTAATGTAATTCAAAATATCATAATACTGTTATAAGTGGACGAAAATTTCTGTAGAAATGCGTATAAAATAACAGTACTCTAAAACTATTTATTTGTTTTGAATTTCGCGCAAAGTTACACGAGGGCTATCTGCGCTAGCCGTCCCTAATTTAGCAGTGTAAGACTAGAGAGAAGGCAGCTAGTCATCACCACCCATCGCCAACTCTTGGGCTACTCTTTTACAAACGAATAGTGGGATATATCGTCACATTATAAGGCCCCCACGGCTGAAAGAGCAATCATATTTAGTGGGACGGGGATTCGAACACGCGACCCTCAGATAATGGGTCGAGCTCCCGAACCACCTGGCCATACTGGGCCACATTAAACCTATTCGTATACAATGTTTCACCAGTTTTTGGTGTTCCAACTGTAACTTTATTATGTTTATATCGCAGATATAAAATTGTTTCACATATAATTTTGTTTTTTATCGTATAGATCAGATGAGTAAAGGGATCTACTTGTGGGATAACTAATATCTGTTTGAAATGTTATATACATTTTTACATACTTTGAATAGAAACTGGTATTGTGTAACTTAAAAGGTATCTTAAACAGTTAAAGTCTAATATAATATGTTACTTTGATAAGGTATTATGAATTTAAAACCCAAATTATTTTATGTTGGGAATGATTAAGTGTTCTGTGGTTAGGCCTAACTGTTTCACGATGCGGTGCATTTGGCCAGAATTTGCCCTTCAGTGGCACAGTGGTAAGTCTGAAGGCTTATAACACTAAAAAAGAGAGTCCATTGTATAGCTTCGTGCTTAACAGAAAACAAACAAACAGAAAGTCTTGAAATTAAATGTTAAAATTACGTTCAATTAAGAAAGACTATGACTGAAGAGGAAACATTGTTTCATCAAAAAAAAAAGGGTAGTAACGTAAAACAAAATCAATGGTCTGATATATATATTATATTAATAGCAGAAGATAATGGTTACTCTATTATTAACCCATCTTGCCTGATTCCATTTCTTCTAAAATGTTTTAATTAATTTGTTGACTGTCAAACTCAAACGTATAAAGAAATAGAGTACGTGTATTAAAACGATTTTGAAGCCTTATCGCATCGTTACTGTCAAAGTTGCCACTGTCCAAAGGCATAAAAATACATAAGTGCTTACTCCGACGACTTGATTAGTATGTCTTAGTATGAATACCAGATTTTGTTCTCCAGCATGTTTGTTGGAAGCATGATTTATATCGCTTGTCCAGAAGGTGATTCTTCTTGATTATGTCGTGTACTGTTGTATGGGGCACGTGGATGGCTTATGACGCCTGACTTTTGTGTATTTAGGTTCTCACCTGTTACAAGATACTGTAAAGTGCTTACAATGGCAGAAGGTAAAATTTGTTACAGGTTTGGTTGGTCATGGTGTGCAAAGCTGATTCATAATCTTATTTTTTTTATTTTCAATGCCATTAAGTACAAGGCATATCTTAAAAATTCTAAAGGCTCGATCTCAGCACATTCCATTCCATTGTTGCCGTCACTTCTTGGCGGTCTTATATACAAGAATACCGCACATCTAGTAAACACTCGAGGCTTCACGAAGGGACATGAATTTTCTAGAAGCTCATGACATGTTACTAGCGTCACATGACTTCCGCTGTCGTAACAATACTTTTAAAGTTTGTTGCGTAAAATAAGTACTGTTAACATTACACAGATAATCAAGCTCACCAGGATAGTTTCTGCTTGACGACACTGAACAGACCAAGATGCTTACACATTTGTATGTTGACTAGTTATATTTACTTCCGAATTTCTGCTTGACGATACAAAATAAAATTATTGATCGAGCCTGTGTGCAATTAGGTTACAAGTTATTTTACGACAAGCACTCTTCGTTCATTGTGATTTATAAATACAAAACCTTCTTTTGGAGTGTGAAATATATATATCATTCCTTTGAATTTTTTTATATAATGACAATGGTCTTAGAAAAGTTTTCTTTGAATTGGGTTTTACTTTGCAAATAGCAGTTTACTTTTCAGTACTTGAACAGGTTTTATAAAATATTACGAATTTCTGAAATATTAAAAGATACCAAGGACTGAGAACGTCCTATAAAATAAGATTTTGTATATGCAAATCAGCTAGTCATGTGACAATTACTGCCGATACAAAGACGTAGTGGAAAGGATGTATCAGATCTATGTTTTGACATTGTTTAGCATTTCGTAGGTAGTCTGCACTGAAAAACCGATCGCTTTTGGAAAAGGCATGTCGTATTCTTTTTCGACATAAAACACTGAAATTCATCTTTCGAAAACGGAAATATCCTTTGTACTTAATTACATTGGAATATATAGGAATGAGAAACATACCTGAAACATTCAGAAAGAGCCCTGCAATAAGTCATACTCTACCCATGAAAATGAAACTGCTGCGTCTTCTAACAGGTGAGAATATATGAACACAAAAGGCAGTAACAATAGTAGTTTAGATGTACTAGGAAACATTGTGCAGCATAATTAAGAATGATCTCCGTCATGTGTGCACAAGTTACTTCCACGACTTATCTGTTTAACCTCTTATATTTCATACAGTTTGAGAATGTAACAGGTATTCATGCAATTCTCTACGAAGACGTGCCATATATTTTGCCAGACACAGAGCTTATAGATTGATTTGTTATCAGACTGTTTAAAACGGGCAATTGGAAACCATCGTTCTCGTGGACCATGCGTATGATGGAAAGAAAGCTGGGAACAGTGTAATGCTTTTGACATGACAGCCTTACATCGGAATCTTTTGCTATAGAAACTACGCTGCAGGCCTTTTGTTAAGATGAATGGTAATCAGGTAGAATATGACCGGATGTAGTGACATTGACTGTTACCGTTTAATGATGTTCCAAAATTGTTTTAATATAACGTATTCAGCCTCTGTATTATTGACTGTAACTTCTCCTAATGAAGTAACTTCATACAAGTTATTTACACATTTTCTATTCATAATATTTTTTTTGTAATGCCTCAATTCATTATTCAAGCAACCTCCTCCTCCTTCTTTGTACAGTGCCCACTACAGCAACTGAATATCAAGTTTTTGTGTTATATTCCCTAAAACTTACCTCTGAGCCACGTTTAGATGTATCAACAATCTTTCTTAA